TGCTGGGTCATTCAGGGCCCCTTACTGTAAGAGCACACTGTACTCATGTACAAATATATGGATTTACCACAAGAGGTTGGGTGTGGGGTCAACTGAATCTCTCACTCTTCTTCCACACATTCATTCTTTATGAAGCAATGATGTTAGTTGTGGCTGGTCACTGCCATATTGGTGTGGCATTGAATCCATTCTGGGTTTTATTCCAAACTTTAAAGGAATTATCCAAGGTGCTGTATTCTATCCACCAAATAAAACCTAAAAGAGTGGCATGGATTCCCTGCCCCATTGACATATCAGACATTTCTGTATCACTCATCTATGTTATGGGTGGAAAGTGGTGGATTTCTGATTATTTGTGCATCACAGTTTAATTATGGGATTTGTTGTTCTTTGTAGCAGTCATTGGATGGATGACCCTATGGGTCTCAGAGATAAATCTGACAAATGATTGCTCTCTGAGCCAAGGTATTGACTCTCTTCAGTAAAACTCCTCTTTCAGTTATTTACTGCAGATAGTCATCTGCATTCTCAGAAGCAGTAAGTGCATCAGGAAACCTACTTGAATTCATTACCCATCACAATTCAAAATAGGACTGTTAACTAATCATGTGTACACTTAGGGCAAGGTTGCTATTCCATACCTCACTGAGGCATTCCACAATTAAAAGACTAATCTGAGAGGTTAGATCTAATGGGATTTTTTTTAAAGGAATTGGTCTTTTCTGGGGAGAGACTGGTAAAAGTAGATGAGTTAAGAATTACTGCAGTGTCTTTATTTTTATCCTATTAAATTGCCCTGGACAATATGCATGGTTCCTCCACTATACAGAAATAGATGAGGCTGAGATGTGTTGCTTGCCCTTTTCTACAGAACCATTAAATGTACAGGAGCCTCTCCAGTTTTCAGTATGGCAGTACTTAAGATAGGTGAAACCTGGCTTGACAAAAGTACATACAAAAGGGATCTAGGAGTCTTAGTAGACCACAAACTGAATATGAGTTTGAAATATGATGCAACAGCTAAAAAAGCCAATATGATTCTAGGCTGCATCAATAGGAGTGTAGTGTCTAGGCTGAGGAAAACAATAGTGCCACTTTATTCTGCTTTGGTCAAACCTCACCTTGAATATTGTATCCAGTTCTGGGCACCACAATCCAAGAAAGATGTTGACAAGCTGGAGCGTATCCAGATGAGGGTGTCCAAAATGATGAAAGGTCTAGAAACCATGCCCTATGATGAATGGCTTAGGGAGCTGGGTATATACAGTTTAGCCTGGGGAGAGAAGGTTAAGAGGTGACATGATAGCCATATTTAAATATTTGAAGGGATGTCATATTGAGGATGAGGCAAGCTTGTTTTCTGTTGCTTCAGAGACTGGGACACAGAGGAATGGATGCAAACCACAGGAAAAGAGATTCCACCTAAACATTAGGAAGAACTTCCTGATGTCAAGGGCTGTTCAACCATGGTCTACACTGCCTTGAAGTGTAGTGGAATCTCCTTTTTGGGAGGTTTTTAAAGAGAAGCTGGATGGCCATCTGTTGGGAGTGCTTTGATTGTGTCTTCCTGCATGACAGAATGGGGATGGACTGGATGACCCTTGTGGTCTCTTCCTACTACATGATTCTAATCCTAGTGACCCTATGGACACCTAGTGAGTTTCTTGGCTCAGCAGGGACTAGACCTGGGATGTCCCAACTAGGCACTGATTCACTGACTTGGAAGCCATGAGATGGAACTGTTTGCAAAGGGACACTGTCCTTCTATTCCTCCACCAGATAAAGTTTGTGCTTCTGATACCCACTGTATGTGCCAAAATGGGCAGTGAATCCAGCCAGCCAGTGTTGCCTAGCAGCATACATGCTCTGTACTTTTTTTGCCCACCCTTTGTCCTCCCGCAGAATAGGCCCCAAGCCAGACCCTTGGGGATCCTGAGGTCCAGGTGGTTGATGGAATTAAAATCTCATTACAGGGCCAGATTTTAAATCTGTAAATCTCTGATTAAAGAATTAATTGATTAAGCACACTGATGAATCAATAAATGCTTTCAGCTTGGCTTGTCTTTTGGCAAATTACCGCAGAAAGTTGGCAGAGAGATAAAGCTGGCCTAAATGTAATTGGGCACATTTCTCTCTGAGTGGGTAACCTTTCGAGGTTTCCCACAGTGTTCCTCCTGCAATAATTGGGCTGCTCTTTCCACTCGGAGTGGGGGAATGAGGTTCTGGGGTGCTTAGCAGATAGCTTTTATTGCATTCAATTTGTTAAACAGCCAAGATGGTATAATCAAAGAACCTTAGAGAAAGCTGCATTCTACCAGGTCAGACCAATAACTTTGCAGAGTCAAGGCTCTGGGTGTTGAAGGAATGGGATCTTTTTAAATAGCAGTGAAAATAACAGCATCTCCCATCCGTTTCAAGCTTCTCCATGGCCTGAGTTCTGCTGTAAATGGCAGTAGTTGGGGAATGGACAGTATTTTGCTAGGAGCAATGGCAAATCCTGCTCTGAAGAAAGATGCCAAGAAAACCCCATGATAGTTTCAGCTTAGGGTCACCAGAAGTCGAAAATGACATAAAGGCACACAGTAACGACATCCCTGTTGTGAGCCAGAGTGGTGTAGTGGTTCAAGAATTGGGCTGTGACTCTAGAGACCAGGGTTTGAATCCCTGCTTGGCCATCGAAATGCACTGGGTGACCTAGAGCAAGTTACACTGTCTCAGCCTCAGAGGAGGGCAAAAGCAAAACCCCAGAGGAGAAGCCCAGAGTACCCAGATCCTTCAGCTGCCCTAATCCTTCCCCATTACCTGCTCCTCTGCTCCCACACTGCAGCAGCTGTCAGCATGGATGTCCTGCTGAGGTGCCTGTTGCGTCTCCCGCCACCATACGTTGTTCACTTCTGAGGTCAGAACAAGGTGTCCAGTGATGAGCACCTGTCTGAGTGCCATGTGGAAGTGGCAAATGTGCTGGTCAACTCAGTGGGACACTGATGCAGACAGCTGCCACAGCACAAGATCGGAGGGCTCCAGATCTTCCTGGAAGATCCAGAGTAACAGGTATGTTTTAAAAATGTGTTTTATGGTAGATATATCCCAGTTCTGGTGCAGAACATGCCAGACATTGTCCAGACTGCTCACACCAGAAGTGGGCTTTTGTATGTGCATAGTCCAGACAGGACAATGCCAGAAAGGTGGTGAAGGTTTTTGGCCCATGGAGACAAGGCTTCCCTTAGCTACAATGCTTCAGACCAGAAGTGTTTTGGATTTTTAATTTTATTATTTTATTTTATTTTTTGAATATGAGTATTAGTATACACATACATAAGGCAATATCTTGGAGATAGGACCCAAATCTAAATACAAAATTCATTTCTGTTTTATGTGCACCTTATAGGCATATTATGAAGGTGATTTTATACAATTTTTAATAATGTGCATGAAACACAGTTTGTATACATTGAACCATCAGAAAGCAAAGGTGTCACTATCTTCCTCACCCATGAAAAAAAGTTTTGGATTTTGGAATATTTCAGATTTCAGAATTCTGCACAAGGAGACTGCCTGTAGTAACATGTGACTTAGATCTAGGCTATTGAGAAAATGTTTCTAACCTTATGAGCCTGTTTGGACCCTAAGATTTCTTGAAGCCTTCTTTTCATACCAGAAGAGACAAAAACTGAGGATCATCCAATAGAATCTACAAGAAAAAATTCATGTCTCCAACTGCTCAGTGGATGGCTGTTTTTATTTTGGAAAAAGCCCAACATGTTTTGGTGTATATATATTTCAGTTTCTTTTTCAGTCCCACCCCCTTCAGAGATAGTTGGTGGAGACATATGGTAGAGCCTTCTCAGTGGCTGCCCCAAGGCTCTGGAGCAGGGGTAGGCAACATTTCCCCTTTAAGGGCTGAGGGACTTCAGCTCCCAGAATCCCAGGAGCTATTGGCCAACATGGGACTATTGGCCAACATGGCTGAGGCTTATGGGAGCTGAAGTCCCTCAACCCTTAAAGGGGAAAGGTTGCCTACCCCTGCTCTGGAGCTTCTTCCCTTGAAAGCTAGAATGGTTCCCTTCTTGTTGGCCTTACATTGTGAGTTGAAGACATTTTTATTCTGACAGGTATTTAGAACTGAAGGAATTTGAGGAAAGGGCTTTTAAGAGGGTGCTGTGTTGTATTAAATGGTGCTGTTTTTATATTCCTTTATATCCTATTTAAGGACATTGTTAAGTTGTTTTAATATGGTTAATAGCATAATTCAATTTTAATCTTGACATTTTGTATATCCTTAACTAGCCACAGCCCTGAGTTTGCAAGACCTGAGCAGGGCTATTGATGATAACGGTGTTCTGGAAGCCTTTCCTTCATTGGGAGTAATAGATCAAAGCCTACTTGGCAACAATTAACAGCAACAAATGTGACTTTATATTGAGATTATAGTGTTATATTTTATTGGGCCTTGTCATAGGAGAAAAAAAAGTTGAAATGGAGTGGGAGAGTAGTTGTTTTCTATGTGTCTCTCCATGTGTTGTTGTAGCACTTCTGTTCTCTTTCTGAGGGATCTGGTCATAAAAGCGTGCCTTTTGTTGCACAGGAAAAATCCATTTGACAAAAGTCACACTTTTATGACCATCTCCCTTGGGAAGAGAACAGAAGTGTTACGGTGGCATACAGAGAAGCACAGAGAAAGCTGCTACTCTCTCACTCTGCTTCAGTTTTCTTTTCTTATGTGATAAGGCTGTTAGAATTATTGTGTCATTATATGTTGCACCAGACCATACTCTAAAGGCAAAGGTTAGATCAGGAAATTGAATTAACCTTACAAAATTGGCAATATCCTTTACACCCATACTCAAGAGGAGAGGGTGGGATATTTCCTCTTAAATGACCCACACCTTGGCTGGAAAACTCTTGGTGACTTATGGTGACATATTTATGTGTTACACCCATGTAAAACATTTTTGGAGCCATACACAGCACCAACAGACGTGTAAGAGAAGCTAAAGCTGAAAGTAACTGACGATTTAAAAAATTTCTCATGCAATTTTCTCTCTAGACCAGGGTTTCTCTATCAGGGCTCCCCAGAATTCTAGGGTTCTGTGGGAGGTTGCATAGGGTTCTGTGAGAAATTGTGATTATCAATATTTTTAGCTGTAGATATAATATTTTTTATACAGGGGTTCTCTTAGACCTGAAAATTATTTCACTGGTTTCTCCAGGGTAAAAAGGTTGAGACTGAATAAACCATTAGCTTGCTTGGGATTCTGGGAATTGTAGTCTAAAACCTAATTCTTCCAACCTGTTTTTATTTCAACAGTTTAAAAGCATCCTATGTCCTCAGACCATTCTTTGGTCTGAGAAGTAAAGAGCACTGCACTGGCAAAAGAGGACTCTTTCCAATCAGTTACAAGCCAGTGAATTTTTTAAAAAGAAGGAAGGAAAGTGGCTGGAACTAAGTTGCCAATCTGTTCTGCAACAAACCATCAGGCATGGTGAGATTTTAACAAAGGTGGCATGAGATCAATTTTCAGAGTGCCTTTCTTCAGTCATCAAAATGGATTTGGCCAGAAAGAAAGCAAGGTTAGGAAAAGATGGAAACAACAATTAAAAAGGTTGACATAGCAAGTGGGGTGGTGAAAAAATGTTATTGCCAGCCTTTGAGTCAATTCCATCTGTGAAGCTGAGGTGTGAATCCAAAAAATAATACATTTGTCATGAAGAGCTCTGGAGGAGGATTCTGTTATTTAAATCATTACCAACAATTGGTCCTGTATCAGTGGGTTATTTTGTGGCTGTGGTTATGCTGTTTTATGTTGTGTGTTTTTACTGTAGCATCTGTATGACAAAAACTACCGTACAGATGGTTTCTAAACATAATTTCTTTCCAGAAATCAATCTTTGTGATACTAAAGCCAAAGAGCAGCTTTAATGTAGTCATTCCTCTTTTTTTTGTCGTTTGCAAGAATTGTGTAATTTATCCATCATTGTGTCCCAGGTTCAAATCCTTGCTGTTAGGAATTTTGACTTCAGACTGGTCACTATTTCAAAGCCTGTCTTACCTCACAGACTGGTAAGATAACATGGCGAGTGAACCTTATGTATTTTAAACATAACTGTTTTCATATTTTGTTCCCCCCACCCTTTCCCATTTCTTCAAAGTACTGAAATGATAGAGGAAGAGAAGGGAATGGAAAGGAAATAACAAATGGAGGGAGGAAATAACCTTTTTATTCACTGTATAATAGAACTTGGAAAAGTTACTTTTTGGGACTATAATTCCCAGAATTCTCTGGCCACTCAAGCCATTGAAAGTTGTAGTCCTGAAAACTGGTGTATCAAAGCTCTGTTCTTTAACCTCTGTGTTACCAGCTGTGGTTATCCAGAATCATAGACTAAACCTTTATGAACATGTAGATGAATCCAAGTGAGTAATTCTTGTATTAATTTTTACAGCCTTAAAGAATCTTTCGTCTTTACAGCCTTACCTGAAGTATCAGTCTGAGATGACTGACAGAGTCTGGGTGCCTGAATGAAATGATTTTCACGAGGTGGCAATTGGGGGAGTCATATTCAATGATGTCTTTCCATTTGTAGAATTGTGTCCTCAGGGAAGCTTGCCTGGCATCTATGTTTTGGCAGTTTTCAGCTGTAGGTGAAGACTTTTAAACTCTTTTCCCAAGGGTCAGTGGAAGTTGCTCTTCCAGCAATGGGTACAAAGCTGCACTTTGGCCATAGCCCGGTTTGCACCCCACTGCACATTGTTAATGGGACTATAGTGCCCTTGGCTTCTCGTTTTTGCATTTAAAGAGAAGAATATTGTCTAGCTGGATTGTCTTCTGAAGTCCTTTTTGCAACTCAAATTACAGTTTTCATGAACAATCTTCCTGCAGATTGGTGAGAAGAGCCAGGAAGAAGAATTGCACAAGCTGAAATGTCCAGCATGTGCAGGCTGCAGGAGATAATTGTGCTCCATCCCATGCCCAGACAATATGCAAAGTATCGTGTCAGTCAACATAGTATATTTCCCCCTGAATTTCCTCCTTTAACAAACCCTTCTACATTTATTCATCTGCCAATAAAGCCCTATTTATTTCAGAGAAGTCTGGGGAGAGGGAGATAAAATCATTTGGATAGAATGCCAGTAAAACCTTTGAAGCTTTGTACAGATTGAAAATGGGATTTGAAACATCCATGATGGTGTTGAAACTGTGTTTCTGGAAAATGTGGCCACCTGTGAACGTTCTCTGTGTCCTCCTCGTGCTTCTCTGCACTATGCAGTCTCTAAGTGGTTTGCAACTATAAGCTAATTGCCCCCATCAAGCTGGGTACTAATTTTAGCGAAGGAGGAAGGAGGTGAGCCTGAGTTGAGCCTGAGCCCTGGCAATTATTGAACTCACATCCCTGTGGTTTGTGAGTGAGTGGCTGCAGTACAGGCATTTAACCACTGTGCCACCAGGGCCCTGATCTGGATGGTACCCCTTGAGACCATCTTTTTTCTAAATAAGTCACTGCCACTGCCCACCGATTTGAATCTTCCTTCTTTAGCAATTTAATAGGACATTGCTTGGGATTCCACTGGCACTTCCCCCGCAGAGACGTGTGACAGACTCAAGTACTTTTAAAGAACAAGGTTTTTTTTTCTGATTAAGGGATCTTCATAGCAATGGGATATCTCTTTACATGA